AGGGGATTGGTTTCAGGACCCCTGATGATGCCAGAATCCGGTGATGCTCAAGCTCCTCATACAATAAAATGGTGCAGTCCCATCGGGCCTCTGTACCCGCGGGCTCCACATCCGTGGGGTCGACCAAGTGAGGAGGGCTGATTCCGTGTACCGTGTACACAGATACGCATGTTTACGTGCGAGCTGCACGCACGTACCACTGCGGTACGAGCACGAAGTACCGTGAGAGCTCAACGTATGGGCCCTGGCTTATCTTTTCATTTCTAGCTGAAAGGCCGGTGCTCACGTTCCGTGAGCCCCAGGTGAGAAAATACACCTGCTGGGGCTCGCTGGCCTGACTCGAGAGGTACGTTTCGTTTGGCGCTGTCATTACTTACCCACCACCTGTCTTTGCTACCAGACTCCGAGGTGCCTGATGGCAGCAGCTAGGTGAGCTGTGAGCGGCTGAATCCCAGGACTCAACAAAGAGGAGGTGCTCAGAGTGTTTTCTGAATAACAAATGTCATGTATCATTTTGACTCACCCCTACCCACCCCTGCCCAAGTTTCACAACTCAGATTGGGGAGGGTAATTTTCACCTTGCGGTGCTGTCTCATTACTCTGGTAACCATGACGACCCCGACGGCAGGCCTTTCATAGTTCAAGTGTCCTTTTGTAAACAAAGGGAAGGTATATGAAGTCCACTTAGGAGACAAAACAATAGCTTAAGATTATTCTCTAAATTAGAGGACAGGATACTAAATTTTCAACATGTATCAAAATATTTTAAAATCTGATTTTAAAACAGTAAAATTATAGTCACTGTGCAAAACAGTTATAATGGTTCCTCAAAAAATTAAACACAGAATTACTATCTGAACTAGCACATCCACTTCTGGGTGTGTGTGTGTATATATATATGTGTATATATATATATATACACATATAATAAAAAACACAAAACAAAAACAAGAAAGCAGAGACTTTAGCAGATATTTGTACACCAATGTTCATGACAGCATTATTCACAATGCCCCAAAGGTGGAAACAACCCGAATGTTCATCGCTGGATGAACAGAAAAACAAAATATGGTGTATATATACATGTAATAGAGTATTACTCAGCCTTAAGAAGGGAGAAAATGCTGATAAAAACTACAATATGGATGAACCTTGAGGACATTATGCTAAGAGAAATAAGCCAACCACAAAAAGCAAATAAGTATGATTCCACTTACATGAGGTACCCAGAATAGTCAAATTCACAGAGACAGAAAGTGGCATCACGGTTACCAGGTGCTGGCGGGAGGAGCAGTGAGTATTTACTATGTAACAGATGGAGAGTTTCTGTTCGGGAAGATGAGGAACTTAAGGAGATGCACAGCAGTGGCAGCTGCACAACAATGTGAAGGTACTTATTAATGTACTAAGTGTACACTTAAAAAGGCAAAATTTTACGTTATGAATATTTTCCCCTAATAACAACAAAAACAGGGTCAAATAAAGTCAAACCTCAGGTTACAGTTAACTGGTATCCGGTCTTTACTGGGTAAGGACTATTAGCATACCTGTAATTCTCGAATTCTGTGAATCACCTTTCTCTGCCACATTCTTAGAAAACAAAATAGGATTCAAGATCTGACATACTGATAAGACTAACTCTGGAATAAAAGCTGGACTAACAATTATAATAAGCTTCAAAACTGCAGAAGGCCAATTTTTACTAGGCTGTGGGAAAGCTTACATAAGCTGTAGGGGTCTCCATTTCTTACCAACAAAGCTAAGAACACAGTCATGCTTTTCCTGGAATTATTACTTCAAAAACACTGGGGGGTGGGAGGGGAGGGTTGATATAAAGATGAGAGGATTAAAAATGGACTCCTATACTTACTAGGAGAGAAATGACTCTGTGATTAGCAAAAGGTGAACATTTTCTAACCAGAAACGAACTAAAATATTTCAGAGGGAGCAACAGTGATAAAAGGAGGAGAGAACTGGGAATGGACACTTCAGTGCCACGACTGCCAACCCCCATGGCCAGACAGTAGCCAGCACGATCTGTGAAAGACACACTTCTTCCTTCCTTGTAACCTACACAATGAAGTCTAATGTAAAAGGCTTCAGGGAAAGAAACGTTCTTCAGGGAACACGAGAATTGGCTGAAATGAGGGAAAATGTCTAAAAGGGAAATCTCAATGCCACCATGGTTTTCTTTCATTTTCCTACTGATTTCAGGTTTGCCTCAAGGGATGGTCCCTCTTGTATCTCAGCTTATGGTCACATCTGGTGCCCTAAACTATTCAGCAGTATGTGACAGTGAGACACGTGACTACAGAAGGCATTCAGCGATGCAATATGCTATTAGACACTTACTCTTTTCAAAGTGTCTCCTTGGAAAAATTTCTCAGCATCATTAATTATCAGGGAAATGTAAATGAAAGCCACAAGGAGGTATCACCTCATACCAATTAGGGCGGCCACTAGAAGAAAGCAAGTGTTGGTGAGGATGAGAAGAAACTGGAATGCTTGGGCACTGTTTGTAGGATTATAAAAATGGTGCAGACAGTATGGAACACAGTATTGAGGCTTCTCAAAAAACTAAAAACAGAACTACCAAGACACAGCAGTCCCACTTCAAATAGATACTTACGTATCCATATTCATTGCAGCATTATTCACAATGGCCAAGACGTGGAAGCAACCTTAATGTCTATGGATGGATGAGTGGATAAAGAAAATCTAGTATATACATAACAGAATATTATTCAGCCTTTAAGAAAAAGAAAATCCTGCATATGCTACAGAATGGATGAACCTTGAGGAAATTATGCTAAGTTCAATGAGCCAACCACAAAGAGACAAATACTACATGACTCCACTTATGTGAGGTATCTAAAGTAATCAGATCCAGAAAAAACAAAAACAAAAAACAAACAAAAAGGAGGAGCTATTTCTTCATCTTTTGATTTATGCTTAGACAGGGTGTTACTCTATGGTACAAATAACATACTTTTGAATAAAAGGATTTGTGAACTTAAAAAAAATAATCAGAGTCATAGAAACAGAAAGTAGAAGGTAGCTGCCAGGGGCTGGGGAAGGGGAAATGGTGAGGCGGTCAGTACAGTTTCCACCATGCAAGATGAAAATTTCTAGGTCTCTTGTACAACAACAGTGTGCACATAATTAATAGCACAATATTGTACACCTAAAAATTGTCAAGAGGGTAAAATTATGCTATATGTTTCTTACCACAATCAAAAAAACAGAACCCAATAAACTAATCAAACCAGAAAAAAGGGCTCCTTAGAAGGACCAATTAAAACAGCTGAACATATAATAATTTATTACTGTATAATCCAGCTCAGTCTGAAATTAACTGAACCTGAAGCACCCAGAAACACTCACTTCCCTCTTCCTCGTCCTGCCGGTACAACAGGTTGGGAAAATAGACTTATTTTCACTTGTTTAAACAAACAAACAAACAAACAAAGAATGAGTCACATTTATGCCACTTAAAAACAAAAAACAAAGAACAAAAACAGCTTAATGATTTCATCCTGCAATGATACCAGCAACTGGAAATGTAGCAACTTCAAAGCACTGTGACCTTGAAACAGTTATTTCTCCAAACAACTTTAGGAATATGGTTTTATCCACCTGCTGATACCAAAAATGAAGACGATACAAAACTGAGATTAAACTGAGTTTTTGATAATAGTGATTCTCAAAGGGCACAGAAGAAGGAAGAGGAAAAAGAGATGAGGGAGACTGAGACAGGCATTGAAAGTAGAAGCTCCGTGAATGCTGAATGTTACGATGATACAATTTTGATGGAAAGACCAGAAAATGCTAATTTTCAGAGTGGGCTGGTATTGGAAACTGTGCTGAGTACGCTATGTGCATATTTTTAAGTTGTTAGAGGATAGAACCATACTTGTAAAATTGTTTTACATAAAACTTAGCTCAATATTATCTGTATAAAAGTGGAAAATGTTATAATTATGAAGAAAATATGCAAATAGGTAGCAAGGATTTTATGACTGAGTGGAGCAGGCAAAGTTTCAGGCTCACATAGCTAAATAAACAAAGATACTATTTTTTCAAAATCAGCCTCTTTAAAATGTTACATAAAAGGCAGATAAAAAACAATATGAAGTCTAAGAGGACGCATACAAAAACAGATTACAAGACATAATAATGTTCCTGGCCCTGAAGGAAAGCAGCGTATGAAGACGTCAAGAGCATATATTGGCCCTGAGCACCAAGATGCTGTTCATACTTGCCTAATACAGATATTTTTGGCACCACAAAGTCCAGTGTGTTTTTAAAAATATTATTTTCTTAATTTTTTTTCTGTAGGCAAAAATATCAAAGAAGGCAGAAAAGGACCGTAGGGGGAAAAAAAGAAAAGAAAACCCCAGGAAGAAAGCTGTCATGCTCTGTGTTTCAACTTCACAAAAGAATTCCAACTAGAGACAGCCTTTCAAATCTCTTATCATCCAGGGTATGAAACTCATTTAGTGGCGTGGCCAACTGAAGCTCAAACTTAATCAAATATGCTGACGAGCCGAAACAGGAGGCGGTTCACTTCCTTACTTCTGGTTTCCAGCCTTAGTTGCTCCTCACTTGCAAATCATGATGGTCACTTGCTGTGCAAAGTACGAAAATTCCAGGGCACGGGAGGAGAATCAGTGGGCACCTTAATTGAGTTTTACAAGATGAAAAGTTACATCACCCTGCCTCACCTTAGTCTCCTCTGTCTTTAGGGAATTGCTGAATTTTATATAAAGCCTATTTATAAGCCACTGCAAGTGATACCTGCATTCATCTTGCCTTGTGACATCATCGTCTCATCAATAATTTAAGCGTAAGAAATGGATTAAAGGGACTCTGAAGGGTGCAGCGCTGGTGGTATAGTGGTGAGCATAGCTGCCTTCCAAAGGGACTCTGAAGGGACTTCTCTCACACACAGAAAAACAGAAAAAACTAAACCGTCCAAAATATTAATTCAGTCCTCTTACCTTGTTCTTTGATCTGACGAATTTGCTTCACAGTTTCTTTTAAGATTGCACATTTGTCAGGTTTGAAGTTAAAGTTGTCTATATCATTAAAATTAGCAAAAATCAACTCTGCAAGTTCTTCAATGTATTTATTTTCCTGTTCACGATTACGTTTCTCAGTGCTCCTTTTGGGGCTAAAAAGAAAAAACATTTTTATTATGAGTCTGAAAAGAGCTATTATGAAAAAGATAGACATGCTAAACATGTTCTAACACAAAGACAGCAAAAAAGAAAGTTACTTATATGAGCAGAGAAATACTTTGGGGGAAAAAACCCAAATATGCTTTAAGTATTGCATTTTTTTTTGAAATTAAACTTAACCTCAGTTTGTAATTATACTTACTGGTGTGATCATTTGTTCAATGTGTTTAATGCCTCCCACTGGATTTCTCAATGACAAGGATCAGAATGATTTGTTCACAACTGTCCTTAATGCAATGCTTGGTGTAAACAGGCATCAAACTTATCGTTGAATGAATAAAGAAAAGTTTTAGAAAAGGAAGGGAGTTAATGCTTATAAAAACTTATTTAAGATTAGTAAAAGAAGGGAAGTGAACCTAGTTATAATAGGAATAAACAGACTTCAATGATTTTTGATAAAGCATAACAAAATAATGAAAATAAATATTTATAATTTCATAGCCGTCTTTAGGATGTTAGTAATCAAACCTAACAGCCTTTTAAGTTAATGTTAAAAACCACAGTGCAGCTAGAAACAAAAGCGAAACTGACCCAGCGGTTTGTTAACTGTCCGAGCTGAATGACATGTGAAATATAAACAAATGGCCCAAGTTCAACTCAGGTTTTAAAATGTTAACAGAAGGGAGGGAAAAATAAAAATTGGCAAGATCTCATTTGAGTTGGACAAAACAGCTAAGTCAAAAGCTCCCTTTAACGATTTCAGCGTACAATTTTTTTCCCAGGGTAGAGGGCCTGCCGAATGACATTGAAATAATACAATAAATAACAAAAGCGAGCTGTTTAATGTTTCTTTTGTTTAGCAGCTTTCTTTGTATGTAATACCAGTTTATAAAATTTTGTAATTTGTAACAGACTTTCATATGTTTGCCTCTAAACATTAGTTTTATTTTCAAAAACTAATAAACCTAAGGATGCAATTTCTCCATTGTATAGGGGTTACATGATTCGTGTGACTGACGAGAAGAGCAGGGGCCAGAACGGGGTTTTCCCAAGTCTTGTTTTCACCCCTGGCTTCTACTTTATTAAATCCAGGGAAGGCGGGGCAGGGGCTGCCATACTTGGAGGAGCCAAGTTCCCATCCTGGATTCTTCAACCCCTTCCCCACCCTGCCAGCTGTCCCCTCATGAAAGATAACAAATAGATGACAAATGGGTGAGAAAGGGGAAGTGTGTTCCAAAGACCCGAAGGCACTGGGGGCGGAGCTGTGCCCCCTGGGCAGCACCAGAGCATCAGGGAGATAACAGCCTCCCCTCCAGCGGTGCCGCCTCGGCCAGGGCCGCTGGGCACCGAGGGCAGCGTGACACTGAGCTGAGGCTGGCCGAGGTGCACCAGGGAACCCAGGGGCTGGAGCCACGGCTGGGGAGCTAGGGTTGGGGCTGTGGTGTGGACAGTGGCCATTTCATCCACTTGTTTTGCTTGGCAACTAGAGGGGTAAAGGGAATAGCTTTCTGGTCTTTCTCTTCCTCCCCCCCCCCCTTAGTGACTCTTCCTCGTCCTCTTCCCTTCTGTTCCCTCATCTGATCTTCCTACCGGCCATTCAACAGAAGTTGCTGTTTAACTTTAAAAATCACTTACATGATTTAAATCATCAAAAGAGTGAAGTCTCTCTTCTACCTCCGTTCCCTGTTTAGCCTTGTTCTCAACCTCCTAAATGGGCAACAACTCTTGTGCTTCTTAATTATCCTAAAACAACATCTAGATCTTATTTTCTTCCTTTTCTGTACAAATGATAGTACGCTGTAAACATTTTCTAAACTTCTGCCTTTTCTCCACAACAACATTCTCCAGAGATTGTAAAATACCAGTCCATAAAGAGCATCGTTCTTCTTTCTCAGAGCTGTACTGTGTTCCAGGTTGTGGGTGTATCGTAGCTTCTTAAATAGTTCCTTACATTTAGGTTTTTCCTAATCTTTTGCACTATAAGCAACGCTGTAATGAGTAACCTCAGACATACGTCATTCTGCACGTGTGAAAGTATATTGTCCGAAAATTCCTAGGAGTGGAAGTGCTAGTTCAAAGAGGATATGCATTATAATTAACAGATAGTGTGACACTGCTCAATTAGCCCTCATGGAGGTTATGACAACTCACACTTCCACCCATGATATACCACAGGGAACTTGTTTTAAAATTACTTGTTTTATTTGCCGAAGAGCCACAATTGTTGTCGCTAACTCAAAAGCAAGGGAATTTAACACTTCATTTCTTGCTCTTAAAAAAAAGAGAAAAGAAAAGAAAAGAAAAATCTCTTTTTTTCTATGGGATCTCTTGTCTTTATGACATTCTATGAGCAATCAGAAATGAAAATGTGAAGAATTCAAGATTATAGGATAAACTGGTTTTAGGAGTCAAAGTACACAGGGGACTCAGAAGAAGTATGTAGCTTTCCTCTTCTTATAAAGAATAATAAAATTTGTAACGTATTAGCATCTCTAAAATGTATGCTAAAAAATACATATTCAGAGGCTTGACAGTTAAGGAGAAAAGCAAAACCCAGCATCTAAATCAGGTGTAAAATCAACACGCTAGAATATAAAAGACGCGCGTGTGGGGCTGTCATGGGCAATACCGGCTGTGTTCTCAGCAAGAATCTCACCTGGGTCCAAGCTGGTCAGGACATTCCTTGCGCTTTCTTGTCTCTGCCCTAGATGGGTCAGAGGTATTTTCTCCCATCCCACTCATCTTGAACACATATCAGCAACTGAAACAGAAAACAAGTGAAAAGAGCTGATGATAAAGTACCCGATCAATTTACCGACGGTAAAAACACTTTGACTTTAATCACAAACTTGATGACAGTAATGAACAGACTGTTTTGATTTATGTGTATGTATAATTCCTAATGAAAGGGCTGTATTTTTTTAACCTTAAGTTAGGCAAATGTAATGTTTAACAATTAAAAAACAAACAAGCCTACCTCACTGGGCCCACTCTTTGAACAGGAGCTGTATTTCAACAGCACCCTGAGCGACACCTGCTAGCCCTGCGGTTCTGCGGCCAGCCTCCGGTCTCAGGAGCGAGCTGGCACCATGTGGGAGCTGCAGGTGCTGTGAGGGGCTCCTCCCAGTCTCTGTTTTGGGTTGGCCAATGTCAAGTCTGTGCTGCAACCACTCACCCGTGAGGAACAGCCCCGGGAAGAGGCCGGGCCCTGCCACCCCCATCCTGGTGGGCAATACTCCTCAAACAGAGGACCTTTCCACCTCCCTGGGGGTCTCCCGGGCCCTCCTCTGCTGCAGCAGCTGCTCACTGTCCCACCTCAGGTCCCTCTCTCCTCGGCAGCTCCCCATGAACACATCCCTCTGCTGTGGCTTCCTCTCTCACATCCTGCCGCCCCGCCTCTCCCTCCCTGAGCTGATTCTAGCTGCTGTCACCAGGGGTCTTAAGATGCACTCAGATGATGAGGAACATGACTGACCCTAATGGAAGAGGCCGACTACTGGCTCCTGCTCGCTGAATTCCTTTTGGTAAGAAAATAAAAGGACATATCCTAAGAGAATCAATGTGTTCACATTGGTCATTATTAGTGGCATCAAAATAAAATTTAATATGCAAAGAACAAGAGTGATAGAGGTTTAAGTTCCAAAAGAACTAAGCAAAGGGGCTAACAAAGATCTCGAGGAAATGGAAGACGGTCTTACTCAAAGGGCTTCATAATTGCTTAGCAAAAGGAAAACCACACAGCCCAAAAAGTTGAGGTCAGCACAGAGCTGAGCCACTTCCCCCTTCCTGCTGTTCCCGAGGCTGCGAACATCTCCTTCTCCCTCCTTCCCTTTCTGTAGTGGAAAATCAGAGGGAAGTGTGCATCAGGAGAAGGTTAAGGACTTACGGAAGATGCCAAGGAGTAAGGGGCTCATCAAGAGCGAGGCCAGAGGGGAAGGTGGGCCGAGGGGGCGCCATGCAGGATGCAGGGCAGCGGCCCTGTCACACCCGCCTGGCTTCCCGCTGCTCCCCAGGCTGGGATCTGGGCGCTCAGTCCCGCTACTCTCATGTCTTCTGGCCTCAACTCTGATCAAGGGGGCAGGGGTATTACACTGTTTCTAGAAGTCACATGTGAGGAGGATGAAGAAACGCCGTCATCGGTTAAGGGAGGTGGCACCAACTGCACATTCTATTCAACAGGTCACATCAGGAGGGGACAATTCTGAGAGCTAATGCCGGAGCTTCCTGCCTCTGGGAGCAATGTAACGAAGCCCCAAGGCCTGTGCTGTGCTCACAGTTCAGGGCTGATAAGTATAATCTGTATTTAGTTGCATTCACTTAGTATTTACTCTACACCAAGCAATTTATAGATATAATTTAATCAACAAAAACCAGATTATGAGAAGCAATAGGGCAAAGGAGCCAGTACACACACACTCACTCCACTGCTTGGTTAAGTTGTGGGACCTTAAAAAGCTACCTCAATGCTTCAGTGACTTCTGTAAAGTGGGGATGTAATCATTAGCACCTACAGCTCATAGCTGTTGAACAGATCAGCAAAGGGCAAAACTGGGATTCGTACACAGGCTGACACACTCGACTCCTAACTACAGAGTTATGGTGAAGGGTTGCCTCATTGAAACAGCCCTTCTTCCTCCAATGGCAGAGTCACAGGGCAGGTGGGAGAAGCAGGAGGATCTGGACTGCGTGGCTCCAGTGCCTGCCTGGCTCTCCCCACCACTGAAGTGTCACTGATTCATTCAAAGACTGCCTGCCTGCCAGTCAAGTCAGCCTCAGCGTGTGAGGACCATCAGAAGGAATGCTGTTGTCCAGAAAAAAAAAACAACAACAAAAAACAACAAGGTGAGAGGAGAGAGCAATTTTATGTAGGAGTAACTCCAATAAGGAAAAACAGGTGAAGGTATCACTCAACTGCCACACACTCCTCTGTGCTGTGAGAACGGAGAAGGAAGAACACTGTGGGGGTGGGGAGGGGAACCAGCCCACGGCAGGAGGTAAGGATGGGGGTGGGGTGGAGCAAAACCTCCAACAGCAGAACCCTTCTCAGCCGATACCTTACAAACGTTCATTGCCAGTATTTCTCTTGGAACCACAATTCTCATGGCTTCACTCATGGGTATGTGAGAAAAAAAACATGACTCACCCCATCTGAGTGAGGTCTCAACAAATGACCTAGGAATTTTCACCCTGGAAGCAGCTTTCTATAAATCATAAGAATTTAAGTAAATTTTTATCATCAGAATAGAACTCTGTCTATAACAAAATGTCCTATAGAGTAGGCCTATGTGACAAGGTTGCTGATAAAAATAGCTGTGCATGTAAAAGCATAGCATTATCAGGAAGACAATTAAAACAAGTGACTGCTGTACTTAAAATCAGTTTTGGGTTTAACATTAGCATTAGCATCATCCACCTTTATTTTTCCCAAAATATATCTCGAGTAACTAGTCTGTATGAAAGGACGAAGGCTGACGGGTTTCAGCAAAGTGACTGGACAGAGGTGAGGAGCGAGGCCAGGAGCTCTCGGTTTCTGTCCCAAGCACAGTAAAGCCACTTGAGCGCTTTATTTCTGACTTGTATCTGCTCGAGGCTGGCTTACAAACCACTGCATTCGCAGCTTTGAAACAGCATTAATTTCCTCTTGAAGTAAGTGTTTTAAATGCCAAGTTTTCCCTTTTATTATTGTGGGATAGTACCTTAAAGACATTTCCTCAAAACCTAAAAATTTCAGCTTTTCAAACATTCTTGCTTCCTTGTTTTTTCTGTGTCTGCCCCATATGTCCTCTTTTCTGAGCAACTTTCCTGGGCTACGTATGCCCGGGACACACTGCCAACTAACCTTTAAACCACCAAAGGGGGGAAAAAGGAGAAGGGGTCTGTAGTAATTGGCCAAGTTGGGGACAGGCAGATCTGCTGACCACAGCCATGAGGCTGGGGATGCCCCTATGAATCACTGCTCATTAACCAGGAGAGAAAAGACAGACTCTCCAAAAGAAAAGGAAAGAGTGACTTTAGTGTTGGAACAGGGAGAGAAGGAGGGTGTGGAAGGTGGTGACAGGCAGGCGACACTGACTCCTGAGTGCCTCTCTCCTGCCAGCCACGGGGCCAGAGGCAGATGCCACCCCAGAGCACACATGCGGCTTTATGCCCCGTTCCTCAGTGGATGAACCAAACAAATGACAGGAACCTCATTAGTGAGGTGCTCTAGCTGAGACCCCTCCAACTGACATTCTTAGTGCCCCGTGGAGGATCAGCTGGCAGCAAGTGCGTGTTTCTCCGAGAAGGAAGGTGGGGTGGGGTGGCGGGAGGAGGGGGGCTGCAAAGTCCATTTTTTCCCACCAAAGTGACACAGATAAAAACCAGAGGCAGATACATAGATAGATCTATGGCTTCCAGTGTGCATGAACACACAGAAAAAGCACCTAAAATAAACCGTATAGATACCTAGATGAGTTTTAATGCATTCTTGTAGATCCAAGTTAAATATTAATTTCCATTGAAAAGGAAGGAGATGGAGAATACTGAAGGGCAGCATCGAAGGTTTAGAAAGTTAACTTTGTGAGCTAGGCCTAACATGTCTGCGTGTTTTCAACATTCACATGAAATTAAAATCACTGAGCATTTCACTCTGAATTCTGAAACGTTCAGTGTAAATCACAGACTGAAAATGACACAAGTAAACTCCCTGCATCGTATCTGATGGTAATTACAGTCACTGAGAACAAGCCAGTGTCTCTGATGCTGGGGGGCAGGGGTGAGGGTGGAGGTGGGATGGGGGGGTGGCGAAAGGACAGACTGGAAAAGGAGTTTCAGTATGTCCATTCTTGTTATCTGGACCCGAACAATGGTCCTGCTTTCACGGCACATCCTCCCCTTACATCCTCTGATATCAGCTCGTACAAACCAGACAGCAGAGGAAAAATTTACAGCCACAAGAACTGATGTCTTATTTTCTTAAAGTAACAACAATCCGGGAGGGGGGGGGCGGTGTGAACAATGCCAGTTAAATCCTTAGCATAATAAAAGAAAGCAAAATAAAGTGTTAAACCTCAACACAACTAAAAAAAAAAATGCACTCTTGCATGAAATTCATCCATACAACTTACAAGGTAACAAAGCTATTGCTCACAATACAGCCTCATACCATTAACACTAATCATCCAGGATTCATGTAAACAATAATGTGCATTTTATCTTTTATCAGTACTGGCCACCTTCCAAACAAAGCCTGTAAAACTGCCAAATTTATTATATGCTGAACAAATTCAGTTAAAGAATAAATAAGGATAATACTATTGCTGAAATCCAAACATACTAACTGATCAAACATTAGATCCCTATGGCTAGTTCCAAGAAATACCTTTTAAAAGTGAGGCCTGCTCTGAAGTTCCTTATTTTGAGATGAAATTTACAATGAAATGACATACAAAGCTGTTGAAACAACTTTAATTATCAACGCCTGCGTGAGGAGGAGCTGCCTGATAAATTACCTAGGTCTTGATACGAGACCAGAGTGGCCCGAGAGCTTCCAAGGCCTTCCAGGTTCTTCCTGCACTCCCCTCACAGATACGCAGATACGTGAACGGTTGTAATGTGGGGTCTGATTCAACAAACGTTGTAATACTATGAAATACTCAAGTAATACTAAATGTGTACACACGTTTTCACTTAAACGCTTTTCTATTTAGTCTATTAGATTAATTAGGAAAGGACAATCCCGTAGAGCTCCCCATGGCTCAGAAGTCCACGCCAAAAGTTAGA